AAGGATGGGTTGTATCTATATTATTTTCTAATTTGTTTTTAATGCGTCAACTGGGCATGGATGTTCTTGTTTGGACATCTTGTTTGGGCTACTGGATTTATGTTCTTAAGTTCCTGACGCAGATATTGGCAGGAATTGATTGAAACTTGACTGATATTGCCCACCATCATTTGGCTATTTCATTTCTTTTTAAAAAAAGAAATATACGTTACTAATCCTTTGTGTATTTTGGTGGTTATTCCTTTCTACTCTGAAAAATCTCCCAAGTCATAAATCATAAAATCTCCAATGACTCCAAAATCCGATATCATTTTTTTAAGAACTGTTCAAGATTCCATTGCAAAAAAGGGATAAGGAAGAAAGTCAATCTTAAGTGCCTTTAATTGATCTTTTTTAAACAATTTACAGTTCTTTGTCATTTAATTTCAATTCAACTTCTTATGCAAAACCCTCTTTGTTTTAATCTACTTAGTAAACATATAATTGAAAATTTCTATTGAAACCGTTTCTCGTGGGATCAACTTTTATTTAATTGAAATACTATACTGCGATTGATAATTTTGGTACGCTTGCTAATAATTCAACAAAGCAAAGATATCAAATGGGCATGTAAAGGCAGTCTTCTGATCTCGAGGGTCAACAACTATTTGATTGTATCTTGAGTAACCATCCAGAAAACAATAGAAAGATTGTCTTGCTAACCTTTCTAACATTTGATCCATGAAAGGTAAAGGAAAATTATATTTTCTAGTTACTACATTCAATTTCCTATAATCTATACACATTCTCCAACCTGTGACAATCCTAGTAAGAATCAATTCATTTTTATCATTATAAATTACAGTCATACCTCCTTTTTTCGGGACTACCTGAACTTGACTAACCCAAGCACTATCGGATATTGGATAGATTATACCTGCATCAAGTAATTTTAGGACTTCTTTCTTTACCACCTCTTTCATGGTAGGATTGAGACGTCTTTGGGGTTATACAACAGGCTTGTAATCATTCTCCATGTAAATCTTGTGCATACAATAAGATAGACTGATTCCTTTGAGATTAGCTAAAGTCCACCGTATGACCTTCTCATTATCTCTAAGAACTGAGATTAACTTTTCTTCTTCAGAATCTGTCAAGGCATTACTAATCACCACTATCTTGTTACCTCCATCTGCAAGAAAAACATATTTTAAATGATTAGGTAATACCTTTAACTCCAGCTTCTGACTTTCTATTTTATTTTTAGGTTTCAATTTCTCAGGCTTTATTTCCCTTAATACATCCTCCTGTACTGAATCAAGATGCTTCAAAAATTCCTCAACTTCTTCTTAATCTTTTTCATCAAATTCATCACCAACAACTATCAAGACTTTTTCCAATGGGTTTGATTTGGCCATTTGCTTCCTTGTTTCCTGGAAAATTTCATCTACAACATCCATTCTGATACATTGTTGTTTATCTTTGGGATGCCTCATTGCTTCAAAGACATTAAAATTGACTTCATCATCTTCTATTCTGGCATTTAATTTGCCATCATCCACATCAATAATGATCTTAGCAATCTTCATAAAAGGCCTTCTCAGTATAAGAGGAACTTCAAGATCTTCTTCCATATCCATTACAAAAAAATCAACTGGGAACACAAATTTATCAACTCTCACCAAGACATCCTCCACCACACCATAAGGGAATTTCAGAGATCTATCAGCAAGTTGAAAAGTCATTCTTGTAGGTTTTACTTCCAAGTCCCCTATTCTTTTAAGCATGAACAAGGGAATTAGATTTATGCTAGCACCCAAATCAAGCAACGCCTTATCTACTAGTAATGTCCCAACTGTGACTGGTATAGTGAAACTTTCAGGGTCTTTGGACTTTGGAGGTAGTGATTTTTGGAATATGACATTGCATCCTGCTTCTAACTCCACTGTTTCATCAGTAAGTTTCCTTTTCTTGGTTAAGATCTTTTTTATGAATTTTGCATAAGTTGACATCTGCTGCATAGCCTCCACAAATGGAATATTAATTTACAATCGTTTGAAAATATCCATAAATCTAGCAAACTGTCTTTCTTTATCTTTCTTGAAAGGATTAGGAAAATATCATAGATTCTTTAGCGGTGATATTTGATTCTCACATTTCTCCCTCTTTTTCTCACTATTGCTCTCTTTTTCTCTTTGAATACTTTTTTCTCTCTCTACATTTTTACACTTAATTTGTTCTTCCTCTTTTTCACACCCATTTTTCTCCTCTTTATCTTCTTTCTTTTTTAAGTCTTCTTCCTCCACAATTAGGTTTTCACCAATCTCTTGGCCTATAACCTTACAACTTCTAGTAGTAATTGACTTGCAGTGCTCCTTGGGGTTAGTTTAGTTATTGGCTGAAAATTATCCTCCTTATTGCTCAGATAGCTATTTAGCAAATTGACCCATATGGATTTCTAAATTTTCGATTGAAGTCTTTGTATTTCTCTGATTACACAAGGAAGCTTGCATGATTTTTTCCAAAGTGTCTTCCAATTTGGTAGTTCTCTCATGTACTGGAGGATATTGTTGTTGTTGTTGAAATGAGGATTGCCGAAATGATTGTTGTTGATATGGAGGTTGTCTATTAGATGGGCCAGCACCTTGTTTTCACCCAAAATTTTGAATCTGATTCTGATTCGGACTCTGATTCCCTCTCCATCCTTGTGCAGAATTGTTCGGATAATTATTGGAATTAGGGAAATTACTTTGTCGTCCTTTACCACTATCACTTTGAGCACCCATATAATGAGCTTCTTCTTGTGGTTTGCTTTGGTAAGAGCAATATCCATTTGGATGATCACCTCCACAAAAATCACAACTCATCTGTTGGTTAGGAGTGGATTGTATTGCATGCAATTGTTGAGGTAGTTTCGTCTGGGTTAATGCTTCAATCTGTTGAGTTATAATTTTATTTTGGGGATAAGAGAGCATTTGAGGTGTTAAGATCAAGTACTCATTTCCTCTGAACCAGATGTTTATCATGTTGAGCCTGTTGGTATGTAGAGGCTAGTGCATCAATAATTCTTGTGGCATGTTCGACGTCTACATCCATCATGGTTCCTCTTACTGCAGCATCTAATAACATCTTTGTATCAGGTCGCAGGCTAGTACAGAAAATGTTCAACTAAGAAATGTCTTCAATTACATGATTTGGGCATCTCCTCAACAGTTATTTAAATTTTTCCCATGCTTCACAAATGGGTTCATCCGCTCCTTGTCTGGAAGTAGAAATATTGGACTTTGCTTTGATATAGCGGGATGGTAGGAAAAATATGTTCATGAACTTATCTTCTACATTACCCTAGGTAGTCAAACTCTAATTAGGATATGCTTTCAGCCACTCTTCTGCCCTGCCTGCCAATGAAAAAGGAAATAATCTTAAGTATGCAAATTTAATATCTGCTTCTCTAAATTCCATGGTACCAATCAACTCATAAAAAATAGACAAATGAATGTAGAGATCTTCATGATCCATTCCAGTGAATTGATGAGCACTAATCAAGCTTAAGAAAGTTGACTTCATCTCGAATGTTTGGTTGACTGGTATTAAAATGCTGGAGAAGTGTCTCGGACCTTGTTGCATAGCATAATCTCTAAATGTTCTTCTAGGTGGATTTGGATTTGAATTTGCTCCTCCCTCTGTCATGTCTTCTATGATTGGATCTAGTAAATTGAGTGTAGGAAGAGGGTTAATAGATTCTCCTCTTGCTTGTTCTTGAGTTTCTCTTCTTCTTCTACCACAGTTTCTTCGATTAGTCTTTTCAATTTCAGGATTGAACTCTAACTGATCTGTGGATATCTGTCCTCTTAAGAGCATAAATCAAAGAGCAACTCAAGCAAGAATTAGCACAGAAAAACAAAACAAACAAAATAAAGAGAAATAATTAAAATCAAAATATTCACAATACTTAATAAGCTAAACACAAATTTTCCAAGATATGTCGTTCCCCGGCAACGACGCCATAAATACTTGTTGAATATTTATTTGGCAAGCGTACCCAAATTATCAATCACAGTATAGTATTTTGATTAAATAAAAGTTGATCGCATGAGGAACAATTTCAATGAAAATTCCAAATCATATGCTTACTAAGTATATTGAAACAAAATTGAGTTTTTATGAAGATTTGGATTGAAATTAAATGGTAAAAAAATGATAAATGATATTTAAAAAAGATCAACTTAAAAAACTTAGGATTGACTTCCTTCATTTTACCTCTTTTACATAATGGCTAGGTCAAATTAAGAGCAATTAACCTAACAATGTTAATGTCATCTACTTAAATCATTCACTTTGATTCCTCGCATGTGAAATTCATAAGAAAACCTGATAAATGTCGATTCCTCACACAGTTAAAAGATTTTCCAGCATTAGGTTTAGGGTGTTAAGCACTTGATACATTCATTCCATTCCTGACAATTAACGTAACAAATATTCTTATCTGATCTAGGGTTTCAAGATATATTTTCCAATCATATCCCAAACATCAAGAATAAATCATTCAAAAGCACAAAAGATAAAAATAACATCAAAACACAGATTAATATCTCAAAATATCACCATGATACAAAAGAGTTTCAAAGAAGTGCACCCAATCCTAAGAGAATGAAGTTAGTCACTCATGGTAGCCATTACAATGCTCTAAATAAGGAAGAATTGAAAAATCCTTGAAGAACAAAACAACAGTCACGCCTCTTCTCAAAAAACCTAAAATTACATCTCAAAACGCGTCTTATCTTTTTATAGGAAAATTTGGGTCGGGCCTCGCATCATTCATTCGCTCAAACATTCTTCTTTCTTTCAATTTTTCTTCAATTACTTCACAATTATGAACTTTGCTCTTGTATCTAGGTATTATGCAAATTCATCCTAAATTGAAAGAAAAATATATTAGAATCATTATAATTTAAGTGGTTATATCACAATTAAGAACATAATTACATCAACTTTTACCACGTAACACTCAACCTCAAAAATCACTCAAAACTACTGCGTGGAAACTCGCCAAAAAGAAATAAATACTTCATAAGTTTCAAGTAACAAACAATACAAAACCTCATTAATACATAACCGAAGTTTCAAAAGAAGATAACTCAGACTAAATTTTGAAAGCAGGAAAAAATTAATAGCAGACACGCACTAAGAAAAGTGTTGCATAAAAATATAAACCAGCAAAGCATTAACATCATTACCAGAATAGGAGGAATGCATCATGCCGCAGGCAATGCTTGACTTGGAACATGACAAAATTGTCAAGTTTATCAGCATGTTCAATGACTTCTTTCTTTGATGGATCAATTGTCAAGTTTAAACATACTAATAATTTGATGGATCAATTGTCAAGTATGTGGCATATATCTATTTTTTCACGGTAGAGGATTAAAGTCGGCTTCAGAATTTCAGTTGGACTCCTCAGAACTAGATCCAATAACAAGTGGACCTTCCCAAAACTATCTTTGATCAATCTATAGCAAAACATAGCACCATTACAAGTTATGGAGCCACCATAACAATCAACTTTAGCCTAGCATTCTTTCACCATCTTTTAACCTTGATTTTTCTTCTTTTCCAATTTTCCTTTACAAAAGTACTTCCATGGTAAGAATTTATTCAATAAGCGCTTAGTTAAGCTTTTCTCCGGAACACACCTCAAGTCCTGCACGAGTTCCGCTCCAGGAGAGATCGACCTGACAGTACATAAAGATTGGTAACTAGAAACAATTACTTTGTTATTTGGTGCAGGATCGTGCTCCATTTTTTCATCAATTGGCTCATATATAAGATAAATTGTTGTCTTGATAACAGTTAATCTGCTCCAGAAAACAACAACAATTTGCACCTTGTTTCCAGGCTCTATGTTTGATAGTACCCTCTGCAATTCCTCATCTTTAAACGATGCTAATGCGTTTCTTTTAAAAAGCTGAATGGTGGTCTTTGTGAGATTTATCACCAACAAATTTTTAAGGCCATCTGATGTTATATTGTCAGGGGAAGAATAATGGATATGGCACATCATTGTCTTCAAGTTACGCCCATTCACTTGAGGGATTTCAAAAGTCACAGAAGAACCGTTGTTACTGTTGCTACTGAAGGATAACCAATCTGGATAACAGTCACCAGGGAGCAAACAGTCACTGTCATTACTTGTCATATTCTGTAAAAATAAAAAATACATATGCTGAAAAGTTTATCAATCAATGCATTAATACCATCTTCTGGTAATTTCAACAATTTACTAAATCACAAGATAATAACTCATTTTATTACAATTAAATGCATTTAAGAGAGAAAGGAACCTGTAAAATTCTCTGTTTCAGAACATGGGTCATTTCCCAACTAGTTCCCATTTGAATTAAAAGTGTTTTCACAAAACATTTTGACATTGATTTGCATTCAATCAATGTAAATACATTTTGCATTTGTGATGTAGTTGTAGATGACTCAGATTCTTCAGAATTTGAATTATATAAAGCATCCAAAATACTTGTTGTATCTCGAGAAAGTTGAAGGTCCGAGCCACACTCTATCGAAAGACTTTGAAGCTGTGGAAGCTCCTCAGTGATATATGATAGCTGATTGGAACTGCTATTTGGAGCATCTAAATAAACAAGTGATGACATATCCACAAATGTTTGAACACAAGAGAGATTATTTGCTGGTGACATCCAAGACCAAATGATTGATGGAAACACGTCGCGTGAAACTCCTTCAAAACCACATAATGAAATATATCCAATACTTTGCGATCTAACTATTGAAAAGGGCACTCTTGTTATTGCAGTCTTATCTGCAATAAGGGTCGTCAAAGACTGCATCTGTTCTATGTCCTCTTCCAACTTGTCAATCATTAAACATCCAGAAAGAATGAGTGTTTTAAGAGATTTCAATTTATAGATACTTTTTGGAAGGTTAGGAAGGCTAATACAATCTTGAAATTTTATTAGGAGAACTTTAGTGAGATGTCCAATGGTATATGAAACCTCAGATAGGCTTGGACAATCTATGAGTACCAGCTTTTCAAGATTAGGCAAATTCAAAAAGTCTGGAGTCTTTGTTAAATAATGTGAATGGCTAAGATTAAGAATTTTCAACTTCTCCATCAGCTACAAGAAATACAACAGAGAAAAATTAGATATAAAACTAAAAAAAATAAATGAAAGCAATTAAATTATGTCATGAACACTGCATGTTGGAAGGGAAAAAATTTATACTCATGATGCTATATTTTTTTAGGAGTAGTGATATTTTGACAACCAGAAACCATACAACTCTTCAAACAACTCACTTTTATTAATATAATAATTTATAGACTGATTTAATAAAAATAAAAATAAAATAAAACTATTATTATAATATTAAAATAGAGTTGTTTACAGAAGTTGTATGGATTTGGGTTGTCAAAAGTATCATTTTCCTTTTTTTAGTGCTAATATATTTTGGTTTAGTCACTTTTGTGTGTGTAGACAAAATAGACCGTTATAATAGTTGTTTATGAACATTTTATGGCTTCTTTAATCAACTAGTAAAAAGGGCAACTTTTACCATATCTATCCTCTAGAAGAGGTAAGTGGTCATAAGATCTGTCTTTCCAGTTGACAAAAAGCTACTATGTAAACTCATTAAATGTACTAAATTCATTTTATTTGATAATTTTTAAGAAATTGAATTTTGATTTGCAATGATTGTAAAATTTCCATTTTAATTAATCAAAGGGAAAAGGTCAAGGCTCGCCGATACAACCATTATCTACAAATTTATCGTAGAGTTCTAGTGTAAAAGCATAATTTCAAGCTATATATGGCACATACTATACGTGAGGTGTTAGGAATAAAGTTTGTTCTTGATGACCTCAATAAAATATGGGCGACAACAATTGGCCGATTCTCCCTGTATCCCATAATTAAAATAAATCATATTTTATCCTTCATCATGTTCACATTTTCAAAACTTATTTTCAAATTGCGTGTTTCGAAATACATTTTGGATTGGCTGTTCCAGAAATACAAACCAATATAGAAATACGTTACAGAACACCTAATACAAAATATATTAACAACCAATCCAAAAATACATTCGAGAACACCTAATTCAAAATATATATCTGGATAGACTCTTCTAAAAATGTATTATGGATTAAGTTTTCCCAAACACACTTTTAGGTTCGAAAATACATTTAGGATTGAGCAGTTTGAATTCCTATACTCACTTTTTGTCCAGTTTCATGCAATAGGTACAAAACATTAATAATTTCACATTTTATGGACTAAAAACAATATTCAATGGAGGTGGAACCACAACAAAACTAAATTGTAGGAATTATGAAGTTCCATAAGAGATATGGAGGTGCAGAGGAGGAATGAAGGAGAGGAAGCTCTAAGGTTTCAAACAAAAATTAATAAAAGGGTATTTCGGTCATTAAACATGGGTTATGGGGGTGCAAGAAAAAACTATGGGAGTGCAGGAAGAAAGAGCCTAACAATTTAGTAATTAACATTTCATTTAATTCAATTCACCATCACAATAAATTGACAGCAAATACATCAAAAATATTGGATAGAGACAAGACTCCAATCAACATTTGTGCTCATCAAGGGAATCCTTACAAATATATATATATATATATATATATATATATATATATATATATATATATATATATATATATATATATTCTTGACATTTATCTTCTTTACATACTTCATATTTAAGCTTACTTGTTTACTGTATAAAGGGCAGATTATAGCTTGTGTTATAAATATCGATATAAAAAATCATTTTATTTCAACTTAAATTTTTGTTGAAAGTACTTGTAATAATTCGATGACGAAATTTAGTTTGGTTTCACTGGGTATTCCTCTGAATCATATATAAAAATTAAATACGGCTGAATTTGGTTTGATTTTAATTTAATAATCAATATTTTGTAGTTGGAGTTAGGTAAGTTTTTGCAGGTTTTATTATTATAAAATTATTAAACATTATTTTGAAAAATTGTAAAATAATTTTCTACAGAAAATTATTAAACATTTTATAATGAGAAAAATATACATTTTGCAAATTTTTTTTATGAATGTTGTCTTATTCATACTTTTAATTTTTTTTATATTCATAAATAAATTACATAATCTTATAGATAAAAATTATAATATAAATTTGCTATCATGTTTTGATAGTATAATTATATTGTAAACAAAATATAATCAAACTGTAAAACAACCATGAGTAGATTTGCATGTTTATTAGTTATTAGTTAACTCTAAATAACATTAAAGAAAGGGGATAAAACAACGCCTGAACGTCAAAAACAAAAATTAATACCTGGGTCTCCTTCCACATCATTGTAATCTTACTGTTTTCTAACTCAATAGAAACTAGACTTCTTTGATAAAAGCTTGTTGGTATGAAGGCAAAAGGAAATCCATGCCAACAAAGCCATCTAAGATCTTTCGAAAGATTTTCAAAATCTCCAACAAGTTCTACACCAGACAGTTGAAGCAACCTGAGTTTCTTCATATTCATAAAAGCTTTAGTGCTCAGAGATTTTGAATTACTTCTTGGTAACTTCAAAGTCAATCCCTCAATAAATTTTGTTCCCTATCACAAAAAATCAAACAAGTAAAATATGCATAGCTAAAGATATATGGTAGTTAAAACCCTGATAAAAAATACCCGTCATTTATTCTAGGAGCTAAGAGGAACATAACAATTCACAACCAAATTAATTCTCAAAATTCTTATGTCAATCAATTTTACAAATGAGTGCTAATAACCAACTCATAAATGGGTAAGTTATTTCATTTTAATAAATGAGTGCTAATAAATGAAGGTCTTACAGATTCTTTTGATAACACATCAAGCACATCCTCATCAAACCATAACCTGCTACGCTCCTCAAGCACCATAGGTGATTTTGATCGAATAATTTCTCTTCCCATATCCCGTAGCAAATCATGCATTCCAAGTTTGTTCTTATCATCTACAGTTACAAGACTTCGCTCTACCAAGACACGTATCCCATTCTCTGGGAAAAGACCACAACCATTTAATATATGTATAACATCATTTCGATCCATTCCTATGAAGAAACATGCTATATCAAGGAATATTCCTTTCTCTGTATCATCACTTAAACCATCATAGCTTATTTTTAGCTTCTCCTGTACTTCATCATTAGGAATTTTCTTGAGTTTTTCCAATACAATCTTCCATTTTGTTACCTCCATATCAAACAAATAGCACCCAAGGACTTCAAGAGCTAGTGGCAATCCCCCAGAATAAGCAACTACATTCCTTGTAAGTTCAATAAAATCTTCTCTGGGACTAGCTTGCTTGAATGCATGCCAGCTAAAAAGCTCAATAGATTCATCTGTATCCATTCCTGACATCTTGAACACTTGGTCAACTCTTTTGCCTCTAAGTACATGTATATCTCTGGTTGTGATGATTATTCTACTCCCAGGACCAAACCATTCACGACTTCCACACAAAACATTTAATTGTTGTGATTTGTTTACATCATCAAGTACAAGAAGTACCCTTTTATGGTGAAGTCTTTTCATTAATAAAATTTTTCCTGACTCAATGTTACGTATCTTTATATTGTTTTCTTTGTTGATATCAAATAGAAGTTGCTCTTGTAAAGAAACTTGGCCAGCCTCTTGCCCCCAAACTTCCCTAATATCAGCAAGGAAACTCCTTCCCTCAAAATTACGGCCAATCTTATTGTAAATTGCTTTTGCAATAGTTGTTTTACCAATGCCTCCCATCCCCCATACCCCTAGTAGTAGAACATCGTTTGCTTGCTTTTGGTCTAGCAACTGAACAATTTCTTGCACTCGAGGTTCAACTCCAACTGGATTATTGGCAACAAACAACTCTGTCTTGTCCAACAAACTTGTAACATTGTTCAAGATGTTTTTGATAGCCTCGCTTTCATTCCTACAGTAAAAGATATTCACATATATGCATCAAAATAAAAGGAAATTTTTTGTAAATTTTCCGAATGTGTGTTGCTTCATTAAGTTCATCTAAAGCATTGTATTTTTAATTATTTATTTTTGAAAACTATTGTGTACCACATATGTCAATAACTAACTTTTAGAATGGGAATGGGAGAAAGAAATTTAGAGGCGAAGAAGTTGAAGCAGACAACTAAGAATATAAGTGACTGAAAACTAATTAAAGTGATGAAGAAGTTCTGGAATATTCTTTAGAAATTACTTCTGTGAAACATTTTTTTTCTTATATTTTTGTTATATAGAAACAAAAATAATTTGTATGAGCATTAAACAAACAGGCTCTCGTCCTTAGTACTTTCACCAACATTTGTTTGATTTCCTGAATACAGTTTCATCAAACCATTAGCATTAATTTTCAATTAATTATAAATATTAGTTAAAATTAATTTTAAGTTTATATTTTTTTTTATCAAAACTCAATTACCGTAATCATTCTATAAAATAGTTAATATTTCCTCTCTGTTTTATCTTCTAAATAGTTATCTTTCAAGAAAATGCTTTAAACCCTGTAAATGATAAAGAAATGATATTTCGTCAAAAAATAAAAAATAAAAAAATCACAGAATGTATAAGTGTTGGATTACCTAGAATTGAGGACTACAACCCCTGAGATGCCAGCAGCCTCACGAAGTGCGTCCCTAGCATTCACGAGCATATTGATCTCATGATCCCTTTTTCCTCTTCATACATGTTATGAATTGCATATGTTATTTTTAGAGACAATACAATGTTCCATAAGATTGGGAGAAAGTAGGTGTTATGTTACCTGTAATGCAGGACCATCAACCTAGAGATGATAGCAGCCTCACAAAGTGCCACCTTCCAATGTTTCACGAGGCTCTCTATCTGATTATGAGCCTTTAGCATTTTAAAGCTTCATACATGTTATGAATTTAATAAATGTTACCATCAGAGACAATGTTCAGTAACAACATGAAAGCAGAAACTGTTTCAATTATCTCTCGAAAAGGAGTGGAGTGACAATCTTTTTAACACTCGTTCCAACCATTTTTTTACTATTTATTAAAATTTAATAGAACTTGCAGTTTTAGACAGGTTTAATTTTCTAAATCATTAAAAAGTTCATTAAATGATAACAAAGGGATACAAAAAGTTGTGATTTTAAACAAATCTCAACTAACAGGAGAGTGTTGAGAAAAAAACTGTTAGTTACTGGAGTTTCTCTTACGTGGATTTAAAGACTGCATCTGTTGAGACGTCCAAAGCCTCAGTAATTGCCTTCCTCCAATACTCCAAAAGGTGTTCTCTTCTCTCATTTTCTCTACATTATAGATGTTATCAATTTCATAAATGTTATTTTTATACACAGCAAAGATCTGAAAACAGGAACTGCTTCAATTCGCGTAGAGATGCGAAGTGAAAGAAGCACGCGTGTCTTCCCCTCTGAAACTCAAAAACACTTCAAAATTTCTGTTGCCATCGTACTGTTCACGAAGAAACTCCATCTCCAACTTATAAAAATATTTCCAAAAACCCCTGTCTTGTATTGAATATGATAGCACAATATATACATGAAATACAGAAACATTCTAGGCTATAATTACGCTAACCATTATAGTCGGTATCCTAAATTTGTCTATTAACAGATATGACATTAATGTGCATCACTGTGCATCGCTGTCATGCCAAGCTAAATATGGAAAAAATTAATCATGTAGAATCATGGCATGATACGGTATTTGTAATCGTATATTCTATGTTTATCACCCTCCCTCAAGATGGAGTATGAAGGTTATGAATGCCCAACTTGCCTAAAAAAGAACCAAATTTAGTGGCGCCAAGAGATTTGGTGAAGAGATCAGCCAGTTGATGATGAGTGGACACATAGGAGGGTTGGATATGATTGTGTTGTATTTCATCACGAATAAGATGACAATCCACTTCAATATGTTTTGTCCGTTCATGAAACACAGGATTCTTGGCAATGTGAAGGGCAGCTTGGTTGTCACGGTAGAGAGTCATAGGGTCGGTGTGAGTAATGCCTAGGCTCGAAAGAAGGCCTTGAAGCCATTTCAACTCACATGTCGTGTTGGCCATAGAACGATATTCCGCCTCGGCGGATGATCGAGAAACCGTATGTTGCTTCTTGGTTTTCCAGGAAACGGGGATTGACCAAGGAAAATAAACCAACCTAGGTGAGAGATCTTCGAGTGAGAGGACAACTTGCCCGAGTCCGAGTCACACCAACCATAAAGACGAAGGTCACTCTCTCTTTTAAAAGCACACCCGACCCGGGCTGCCCTTCAAATAGCGTACCACGCGGAGTGCAGCCCGCCAATGCTCCTGACGCGGTTGGTGCATGAATTGAGATAGGACATGAACACCGTAAGATAATTCAGGTCGTGTAAAACACAAGTAAATAAGGCGACCGACGAGACGTCGATATTGACTCGGGTCGGAAAGTAGTTCGCCATCGCCCAATGCTAAACGATGATTTTCTTCGATTGGCGTGGACACAGGTTTCCCTCCAAGCAATCCTGCTTCAGCTATGATGTCCAACGCATACTTCCGTTGACACAAGAAAATTCTCGTAGGAGATCCGACAACCTCCACCCCAAGAAAGTATTTTAATTTCCCTAAGTCCTTCATACGAAAACATTGATGAAGATAATCTTTGAATTGCGCAATGTCTTCATGATGATTGCCGGCAATGACTAGGTCATCCACGTAAACTAACACAACCAGTTCGACATCTCCTTTGCGAAAGATGAACAAGGAGTGATCGGACGAGGAACGTTGAAACCCATATTGAACAAGAGCGAGTTGAGAGCTTGGCAAACCAACACCGAGGAGCTTGACGAAGACCATAAAGGGACTTGCGGAGACGACACACCATACCCTTTTGAGACACCAAGAACCCCGGCGGCATTTTCATGTACACATCTTCCTCAAGATCGCCGTGCGAGAAAAGCATTATGGACATCCATTTGATGGAGTTCCCGGTCTTTGGCTACCGCCACTGCCAACACTGTCCGAATGGTGACCATCTTTGTCACTGGGGCAAAGGTCTCGTCATAGTCAATCCCCTCAACTTGGTGATTTCCCAAGACAACTAATCGGGCTTTGAAGCGTTCAACGCTCCCATCGGAATGATATTTGATTTTATAAATCCACTTGCAACCCGGAGGCTTCTTCCCTGTCGGTAGAGGAGTAATGTCCCATGTTTCATTACTTTGGAGGACCCGAATTTCACTAGCCATGGCATCTCTCCATCTAACATCCCGAACGAGCTTCAAAGAAATGCACAGGTTCTCTCTCGCATGAAGGGCTGCAAGAAAGGTTCGGTGGGGGAAGGAGAATTTAGCACAATTTAAGTACTTTGTCAAATTGTAAGGCATACCCGAGGAAGCTGAATGTGGAGTGCGAATTGAGGGACCGAGTTGTAAAGTGGTGTTAGTGACATAATCACGAAGCTTCACGGATGCCTTTCGTACACGAAGACCTTTCCCCGGGGATGCGGGGACAGTATGCTCCTCGGGAACCTCTAGTTCTGTCATCATAGAGTCGGTTTGTTCCGGTGGGAGAACGATCCGGGTGGGAGGCTCTTGTTCATGGCATTCGGCGTGGCTCTCCCCGAACTCGGTTGTGGGCACATCTTCTGTTGTGGGGTTAACGTCATCAGTCTCCACAACGTGTTCTGCATTGTTCATTGCACCAAGTCCGGGCAATGCTTCCTCGACAATGCCAACATCAACAGTAGGCAATCCTACCTCCGAATGTCTACTGTGGGCAAGAGAGGCAAACGGGAATTCATGTTCTACAAACTTAACATCTCTCGAAGTCCGGAAGACTTCTCTTTCCGGATCAAACAATTTCCAGCCCTTTTTTCGATTGAATATCCAACAAATACATTCTTGCGACTTCTACTTGCAAATTTGTCACCTTTCCTATCTTGGTTATGTGCATAACACAAGCATCCAAATACCCGTAGATGGTCATAAGTGGGTGGCTTCCCATTCAATATTTCATATGGAGTTTTTCCATGGAGAACGGTTGAGGGTGTACGATTGATCAAGTATCTTGCGGTCAAAATGCATTCTCCCCAGAATTGAAGTGGAAGTTCTCCCTGAAATCGTAGAGCACGAGCTACATTTAGGATGTGTCAATGTTTTCGTTCGGCTCTCCCATTTTGCTGAGGTGTTCCAGTGCATGAGGTTTGATGGAGTATCCCATGTTGCTGAAAATATCGTTGAAGACACATAAACTCGGTTCCATTGTCACTTCGTAATATTTTGACTTGTTTCTCGTATTGTCGTTCTATTAAGGCGATGAAATGCATTAAGATTTGTGACACATCTTTCTTATTATTCAAGAGATATATCCACACAGCTCGAGAACAGTCATCAACCAAAGTGAGAAAGTAAGATGCACCACAAGACGAGGGAGTTCTATATGGACCCCATAAATCACAATGTATTAAATAAAATATATTGGATGCTTGAAAATCACTTAAAGGAAATGTGTTTCTGCATTGCTTTGATCTCTCACACACTTCACACACACGAGTTGTATCCGTATTTCTATTCACGCTGTTCGGATGCGGAATTTTTCTAACAATCCGGTAGGCGGGATGTCCCATTCGCTTGTGCCAAATCTCTAGTTGATTTTCTGCATTGGTCCGATACGCCTTTATGCCACTCACACCACGATACCAATAGAGTCCCTCTTTTCGTTCACCCGCTCCAATCAGCATCCTCGAAGTGTGGTCCTGCATTGCACAAAATCTATCGATAAAATGTACCTGTACATTTTACTTCATTCGTCAATTGTGATACTTGAAATCAAATTGCAATTCAATTTCGGAACATATAGAACATGTTTAAGTTTCAGTCCTCCTTCAAGGAAAACCGATCCTTCTTTGTTTGCCGAGCACCAATTCACCATTTGGTAGTCCCACTGGGCACCCTTCCAAGGCTCGACTCTCCCTCAAGTTTTCTAGTGTTCCTGTCATATGATTAGAGGCGCCACTATCAATAATCCACAAGTCACATGCTTTCTTACCAGTCATCTTTTCGGTTTCATTTGCCTTGCGAGAATTCAACATTGCTTGTCAAGATCCGCCATTGCTCATTACTCGATCCTGCGACTTCGGTTTTTCGGTTGAACCAACGTTATCCGCACCGGTGTGCGCCATATTGACGCGAGCCGTTCCTCCTTTTCCTCGGAAGGTTCCTGTTCTTTGTTGATTTTTTTCATCGTTTCTATCGGTTCGTGGTCTCTCTCCCCACCATTCTGGGTAACCAATGATCTTGAAGTAATTGCCTTTGTCATGTCCCTTCCTTCCACACTCGCATGCAAACAACTCGATTTTTCTTTCGCTTCATTGCGCAACTTGTTCCTGGTTTTCGCTCGCATAGCCATTCCCACGATCATTCCTCGCTCTTCTTTAGACCTGGTGATTGTTCTCACCCTTTCTTCTTGCACCATGGTGCCATACACCCGATTCAACGAGGGTAATGGATCTGTTGCCAAAACATTTGATCGTGCAGTTCCATAGCCCTCATCATCTAGCCCCATCAAGAACTGATGAATTTTTTCTTCTTCTCTTCGTTTCTCAAGTTGTGTCATAATATTACACTTGCATCCCCCACATCTACACTGTGGGATTTGCTCGTAATTTGTTAGTTCATCCCACAACGTTTTCAACTTCCCATAATAGGAAACCATAGTCATTCCTTGTTGTTTGCATTCTGCCAACTCTGACTTTAGCTGCTGGATTCTTGGTCCGTTCACGATCGAGAATCGTTCCTTGATGTCATCCCATAGGTCCTTTGCGTTTTCCATGTATGCAACAGTGGAACGCAAACTAGGTTCTATAGTGTTTAGTATCCAAGATACAAGCATCGATTGAATTGTCCACCAATCTTCTATCTCAGATGTGTCTTCTTCAGGTTCCTTATGAGTTCCATCTATGAAACCCCATTTCCTTCGAGCCCGCAGAGATATCTTCACGGCCCTTACCCATTTCTCGTAATTCTCTCCTCGTAATTGTACTTGTGTAATCACATTTCCAGGATTATCACTGACACTCAGATCGTATGGCGATGGTGTTTTCTTCACCGCCTCTCCTCTCTCGCCATTTTAGAAGTACGATCGTGTTCTCGAGCCGTTGGATATCGGAGTTTGGTTCGCTTCCGATACCATGATAAAAATATTTCCAAAAATCCCTGTCTTGTATTGAATATGATAGCACAATATATACATGAAATACGTAAACATTCTAGGCTATAATTACGCTAACCATTATAGTCGGTATCCTAAATTTGTCTATTAACAGATATGACATTAATGTGCATCACTGTGCATCGCTGTCATGCCAAGCTAAATATGGAAAAAATTAATCATGTAGAATCATGGCATGATACGGTATTTGTAATCGTATATTCTATGTTTATCACCAACTCATCATCGCCATCGGAG